CGTTACTTCTCTTCGAAGCTCGTCCATGTGAGCCTCCTTGACTATGTCACGTATACAATATAAAAGAGCAGACGGAACACCTCCATTAAAAATGATAAACAGATAAAGAATAACAGTGCATTGATAAAATGATGCTGGTGACTTAAATGTAAACATTCACTAGATAATAATACCTGGAAAATTTACATTTCATTTTTATTGACATTGTAATTACCTTGCTGACATTTCACATAATCCCATTGTCTATTTTTGAAAGTAACATTATGATAATGTTAATGCTATTGTTACTCAAGTGCCAACTTTGAAAGGAGTTGTTACGTAGCCACCGAATGTTACGGTGGGTTATTCTGTACAAAATTGTGCAAGAGAAAAAATAAAAACAATTCTTCGGAAGGGTCAGATCGTTTTGACCCGAGATATCCCGAGTTACAAAATGATAACCCCTTTGAACACCGCGGATATTATGAGATCTCCTGAAGAAATATCATTTATTACGCTTCCGGCTTGCTTTTGTTGGAACGAAAATACTACTACTGGTAATACTGGTTGTAGGATGAAAGTGTTAAATAATAATAATAACATTAATAATAATATAGAAAAGCAAATTTGCCAAATAGATACTACCGGGAATCGACCTCGAGACCACAGTGCAAACCGTTGTGCCACGAAAGTCGTCGGATTAAAGGATATAACAGTACCAGTAACACACTGACCGACGCTTTCCGAATACCAAGAAAATGACAGTATCTCTCAAAACCATTTTATTGGTGCCCATCTCTTGAGTAGCAAACCAATATGAATCAAAATTGAAATTCATGAAGAAAAAAGTTGAAAACTAAGGACGATTTCAAAACTTAGTAAGGCACACCTAGTCTGGTACGTGGCCAGCCAAAAATCTTTTAAGTCACTTTAACCTAAACACCAAACCAAAACATAATAGGTATTTGACACTTACTAAATTTTAAAGTTGTTAAAGTGCCTTACTAGGTATTTGAATTGGCAATTATTGGATACTGGAACTTTACTGAAACTGAAAATCTTAGTATTTTTATTAATTTAATTTGCGAAACAAAGTCGAATTAGATTCCAAATTTTCTACTGTAGTAATAACTAAACAAAATATCCGGCAAATGCTTATATTGTGTTTTGTTACTGGCTGCTACAGTAACTTTATTTACATAAATATTTGAAGTTAGTAATGCTATAAGTTGTGATAATTTTGTGACATCAATAAATATTCGTTGATTTGTGTTTAAAAAATTAGTAAATTTTAAGGGCGACCTTAATTTGTGTTTTTGGATTCTTCTGTAAAATTTTGTCTGAAGCCCTTACTAGGTTTGTTATGGGGCAGCCGTATTGTACTTTAAGGACTGTAAGTGTAGGTGGTGCAGTAGCGTTGAATGATCCATCTTCAGAAATCGCGGTAGAGGACTTACATGTCACAGTTGGTGGAGTCGCGGGTCATGATCAACCAAATTAGTGTGTTATCTGGAATGCAACCAGAGATTCTGAATTTGGCAGAAATTCTTGCATGGAAAATAACTACGACATCAGAAACGTAATTTTGACTGAACTCGGCGTCACGTAGACTAAATGCTTTATTCCAAAGCGTTGAAAGATGCATTTTCAGAAATTGCGGTGGAGGACTTGCATGTCTACGTCCGTAACCATGGCAACTCGATTCCCACTAGAGAAATAACAATAAATGTGTTTCATTTTCCAATGTATATTTATTTCATTGTAAGTAAATAGTAGGTAATAAAACTATTTGTTCAGGCACTTTTACGTTTTATGTCCCATGGTCACAGTTGACTGTCAATCGCTACCAAGGGACCTGTAAAGGGTCGGAAACGTTGGTTTCTTTGAAAAAAAAAACAAATATATGCGATTTTGACCTTAGATTGATTGATTTAGATCCGAAAAAAGGTTCTTTTCCTATGTATGATAATGGCGAAAACCAAAAAACTCGTTAAACAAATAGGTAACAGTTTAAAAGTCCAGAACAAAGGAGTGTCTTTTGAACTAGTAATATTATTTTCTGTTATCATTATTAATACAAAGGTTAAGCACATAGAAAATAAAAAAAAAACTTACGTCAAGTGTCACGTTAGTTTTACTCGTTAACTCTACCGTACGTTGTTTAACTAGATTGAATATTAGTCAAATTGAGTGTTAAAATATGGGTCGCCCGGACAGGGACTTGAACCCTGGACCCTTGGATTAAAAGTCCAATGCTCTACCGACTGAGCTATCCGGGCAGTAACGGCAGTATCGAAACGAAAAAACACATGGAATAATAAAGAGTTTCAGATGAGTCATCGAAATGCCAATAAAGGTGATTTGAAGAAAACAGTCGGGCAATTAGCAGCTTAGTAAACAGACTGTTATAATAATAACATATTAATTGACCATTAAACGAACGTTTGACGCATACTTACCGTTAAACGTTTCAAAAATAAATCGTCAAATGAATTGATCGGGAAGGTCAATTTTACACGACAGAATCGTTTGAAACTACGATTATCTGTTGTCACATTTTTAACCTGACGTTTTATTTACCGTCAGACGACGGTCGTACTAGCTCCCATTATCACGACTGTCTATTGTCGTAGCGTCAAAAAAGACGTGAACGACAGTGAATCGTGTTTTACCAAATAAACTAGCTTTTCTTGATAGTCGTCTTCACAAGGTCAAAGAATCATTTAAGGGGTAATGTATACGCTTCTATAACAAGATTCCGGTTGATATACAAAATTTGCCTTTTACGAGGTTTAAAACTATAGTGAAACAAAAACTTTATACTAAAGGTTATTTATTATACAACTTCTGCGTACTTGGATAACAAAAATCCGTGGTAGTAACCCGTTTAGCTCATGGAGGTAGTCTCGATCTCTGATGTTTCAAATAAAAAAAAATAAATATTGTAAATGTTATTTACAACGAGCAACCCCTAGAGTTTCGTGTTCATTCTTCTCAGGGGAATCTGCCTTACGAATGAGCGGTAGAGTTTAACCATTGTGACGATTTCAAGTGTAATAATGCTTACCTATGAAATAAAGATTATTTTGAATTTGAATTTGAATTTGAACTATAAGTGAACAACTTCATTTAAATATACAAGACACGACATTTTAAACTGCACGACTATCTGTCGTCACGACCTAATGGGAACGCACCCAACCCTACGTTACAAGTACATGTTATTATAAAGTAAATTACTTAATTAGATACAAAAGTACAAAAATGTCACCAACAGATTGAACAGTAGTTTGGCGACTTTTAATATGTAAGTTTCTTTTTACTTATAACAATAGAAAAGAAATTGTTACGTTGACAGTACCTCCCTAGACAAACCATTTCACAACGAGCTTGTTGGTACTTAACTAGTACCCTGCCAAAGTTGACGTAATAGTATTGTAAAGAGTATAATGTGTACTTATTAAAAAATTCATTGGAACACCGTGGGCGAAAACTTGTCTTGTCTTTGTTTGTTTTATATTTATATTAACATTGTTCGTTAAAATTGGTTTTGTAGTATGGTATTGGTTATTTCACACTTCGTGTTTTGATTAAATAGTTTTGCATGAATTTCTGGGTCGACCGTCACAGCTGGTTGGGTCGCGGGTCGTGATCTAACAAATTAGTTAGTGTGTTTTCTGGAATGCCAACAGAGATTCTGAATTTGGCAGAAATTCTCGCGTGGAAAATAACTACGATATCAGGAATGGAATCTTGACTGAACTATTATATTTTAAGACGTCTATTATATTATAACTATTATATTTTAAGTGCGTCGTCACGTAGACCAGATGCTCCATTCCAAGGCATCGCGTTGACGGATCCATTTTCAGAAATCGCAGTGGAGGACTTACATGTCTGTGCCCGTAGAGATGGCGATTCGATTCCAAAATGGCGACTCGATTCCTATTAGCAAAATAACAATGAATGTATTTCATTTTCCAATGTATATTTAATTCTAAATAAAAATATATAGCATAGGAAATGATTATATTTTTTCGGGCACTTACGTTTCATGTCCCATGGTCACCATTGACCAAGGGACCTGTAAAGGACGCGAAACGTTGGTTTGTTTGAAAAAACGAATATGCGCGATATAGATCCGAAAAAATAGTTTAATTTCCTATGTATAACAATCGCGAAAATCTGAGAATTGATAAATATACCTATAGATAACAGTTTAATAGTCAATAACAAAGCAGTGTCTTTTGAACTAGTAATATTATTTTCTGTTATGATTATTTAGTACAAAGATCGAATATAATAATATTTATTTTCGACTCGGTGAGTCTTGAACCCACGACCATGCTGCACCGTAACATTGCTCTGACCAACTGAGCCACAGGTCAAATTACAAAGCTGTCGAAAATCTCCTGTGTTTTTTTTGTTATAGATACTACTGTACTGGCTTCGGCATTCATCGCCGCTAGTGATATCTAGTGAAAGATTTTGGGAAAAACCATCTCACCGCAGCCGATATCTTTACAGATGCCTTAACTGACTTAGATGTCACTTTTTGACCTGTGGCTCAGTTGGTCGTGGGTTCAAGCCCCACCGGGTCGAAAAAAAAAGTTCTATGTGATTGATCTTTGTATTTACAATCATAATAAAACTAGTGGAGTTATTTCACAAAAAAAATCTCAATAATAAATAAATATTATTTTCTTTTTAAACTTTTCTGTATTTTTCACATGACAGCCAGATGACTCCACTCCGACTGACGTTAAATGGACAATGGACAATCAATACCCTAGCCTACATTCCTTATATGCCTACATTCGCCTCTTCATGCCTCATTTGAAGGACCCCATATCATAGAAAGTGGAAATATATTACTTTGGAAGGGAGTCCCCACAGACATATATCATATATCTAAAAAATAGACGACGTTAGTGTACCTATTTTGCATGCCAAGCGTAAGTTAAATATGCTTAGTTGCCGCCGCGGCGCTTCTGAAGGCGTCAGGCCACTATCGTAATTAGACGTCAGTCAGAAAAGCCGTTACAAACTGCAAAAACACCACAGCTGTTATTAGACGAGTAAACACGCACGTTTTCTTCCACCGGTAAGTCATTTTGTCAAAATGTCAAGTTCAGTTTCAATCTTGTCCAATTTAATGCTACCAAAACGCAGGCGTTGTCCATTCTCCACAAAAAGGGGTCACTTTGACTTGACTCCGACTTTTCGTGATATATCCGTACCGATAGCCGACCGTCTCCAGCTGCTTGGAATGGACCTGTCGTCCAATCTGAACTTCGGCAGATACATTGAATAAAAAATGCAGCCATGAAGCTTGGCATCCTTTCCAAGGTGAGACGTTACTTCACACCGGGACAGGTGCTTCAGCTGTACCAAGCACAAGTCCGGTCGTGTATGGAGTACTGCTGCTACATATGGGATGGCTCTGCTAAATACCAACTGGCCACCTTGGATTCAATCGACAAGCTTACCCAGAGGCTTATAAGTGACTCGGGATTAGTGGAGGCGAAACTGCAGATCCTTGAACACCGCCGTAAAGTTGGCTGCTTATCGGAATTCTACAGGATATATCACGGAGAGTGTGCGATGAAATTGCATAATTTGATTCCGCCTTCCCTTTTCCATCATCAGGGGATTAGACGTAGGCAGGGATTCCACTCCTATGTTGTAGATATTCCCAGGATTCGCGCTAAGTGGTTCGTTTCCGCATTTATATGGCGAGCGGTAAGAGAGTGGAATACCTGCATACATATTCCCCGGAACGCTATAACTTGGAACTTTTTAAGGCATTATTTAGATATGCATGCTACATTGTCGACCTCATCATCACTTTCCATCGGGTAAGATGGAGGTCAAATACGCACTTATTTTTTTATAAAAAAAAATGCCGTTAGAAACTGCAAAGACACAATAGCTGTTATTAGACGAGTAAACACGAAGGTTTTCCACCCGTAAGTCATTTTGTAATCAAAATATGCATAATTTATTTTAAAACTAATAATCTTGATTTTGTATGAATTTCGAGAGAAATGCCGCGTAATTCGTAAATGGAGGGGAATTCCAATTGTCGACTGCGTGAGAGAGAACGGTGCCAATATTTTTGGTTTGTGATATAATCTGGCAAGTTCTTATTATAGACGTATAATAATCGAAAATCACAACAATTTTCGAACTAAAGGTTGCCCTATGTTATAATTACTGTAAACACCTAGATCAGAACGAATTTAGAAAAAAATATTTTCTAAATTGACCCTATCGGGAATCGAACCCGGGGCCTATAGCCTTCGCCCATAGTGCCAACCGCTGCGCTACTAAGGTAGTCAAATCTGAAATGTATTTCTTTTTTATCCTTAACATATTTTTAAGTCATTTAACCACCAACAGGTTTAAATGCGACATTCGTTTTAGAATAAACCAGCCAGTTCTATGGTCAAGATCGTTCATTACTTTATTATCCACTTCAGTTAGTCTTTATCAATTCGCAAGAGGTGTTGTGTCATAGTTACTGATTTTATACGAGATATTATTGCAAATATGTAGGACACCTATATATAAAAGTACATATTTATTAGTATATTCGCTTATAAAGGCAGTTTGTGTGATACATACAGAAATTTTAATAACGTAATGCAACCCAGATTTTTTTTAAAAACGCGTGTTTTATTCATAGGGAGTTAAATAATTTTAAATTTGTGTATATTTAAAGTGTTTTAATTATAAAATGACAGTAAAGTAATTAGCGGTAGTTGTTATGAATAAAAAATAATTGGTATCGTTAAAAATAACATTTTATAAACTCATTATTTTAGTGGTTATTTTAAAGAACTGTATCTAATTAATTAAAATATAAAAAGCGTGATATTTATAAACCATAACATATTTTATGCTATACATAGGTACATTGTACAATGTTGTAACTCAGTGAACTTAATTTTACGAAAATGAAGATATTTGTTGTATTGGGGTAAGTATCCTTTTATATCTCATCATCAACCCATAAAACCTCCTACTGTTGGTCACGGGTCTTAGACCTTTTAGAATTAGTAGCAGTAGAGTTCCTTGTGAGTGTACCGTCACAGGGATTCGAACCGTCAACCTTTCAAGAAAGAAGCAACCAATCTTTCGTTAGGCTAGCACTTATCTTTTATACCTACAGCAACGCAAACTCCATACTGCTACACGCCAGTTCATGGTCATATGTGCTAGAAATTTAGTGAAATTAGAACGTTGTGTATTTGATTAACTATAACCCAAAATTAATAATAATAATAATAACTTGAGGCAGTTGAATTTCTGTGACGCGTCAAGCACAAATGCAAAAAACGGTCCTGCTCGATACGGCACGTATTGTTCGCCGGCTTTTGAAACTAAGTCCTTGACCCTGGCCGACTGTGTCATTACTGCGGATCTCTCATCAAAATTAATATTTAAGGCTATGGGAGAGGTGTGTACAATATTCTAAAATAAGAATCCAAAAAAATAGTATTAAATAGAAAAAACAGGAAAAAATATAGTAAGACATTTATTATCGAGTTCTTAGGTTTTCGAGATTGTTACACACACATACGAGGTGAATTATTATACCATTTCTTCGGGTCTAAATCACGTATATTTGTTTTTTTTCAAATAAACCAATGCTACCGATTGAATCAGTAGTAACCATTGACCTATGTCGTATCGTAAACGTTGGTTTGGTTGAAATAACAAATATACGCTGTTTAGATCCAAAAAAGACATTTATTCATAAACATATTTTTTTGTTACTAAGTGAATGGACCATACGCCTGTCCATAACAGTTGCAGTGCCACTCAGTTTTAAATTGCAAAAATTTCAGAGGAACTGCGCCCGTCACTTTGAGACTTAAGTTGACAAGTCCCTTGTGCCTCTAATTTCACCACTTACCCTTCAAAACCGCAGTAATGCTGACATTAGTGCTTGGCGGCAGAAATAGGTAAGGTGGCAATACTTCCCTGGACGAACTCCAACAAGGGGCTCTACTACTACTACAAAATAACCAACGTTTTTGTGTCATCATCACTTTAAATACAAAGTAGGGCAAACAGTGAAAAAATAAGCGGACCAGTAAATCAGCAGCTGAACAAAATAGGCTGGTGAGATGAATGTTATTGAAAAATGATTTTTGGATGTTGATGTAACCAGAAAACAAAATTTACCGTATGATTTACTTTATTAAACAATCTGATTGACAACATCTTAGTTTGAGTTTGTCAAGTGGAAGGTGAGATTGTTTATAAATATAAATATACTTATACCTAATACAAGAAAAACAGAGAAGTTGCAGATGGTAAATATTATATATGGTGCTTTAAAAAGGAAAGGAATGAAAATGATTGTGAGTAAGACGAAAGTAATGGTTTTTGAAAGAGAAGAAGATGTGACGGATTGCACAATATTGATTGAAGGAGAGAAAGGGGAGCAAGTGAATGAGTAAGTGTATTTGGGAGTATGTTTACGTGTGATGGAAGATATGAAAGTGACATTGAAAGGAGAGTGAATGCAGACAATCAGGTATATGGAGCGTTACATGCCTTCATGAGCAACCGGAAATCGTCTAGAAAGGTATGACCGGCTGTGCATGAGGGAGTGATGGTTCCTACACTTATGTGTGGTAGTGAATGTTGGGAAGAAACACGAAAGTAGAATTAATGCAGTAGAAATGAGAGCTTTGAGAAGTATGACTGGAGTAACTCTGATGGATAAATTACGGAACTATGTGATAAGAGAGCATTGCGACGTGGAAGAAGACGTAGTGACAAAGATAAAGAAAGGGATGCTCATATGGTTCGGACATGTAGTGAGAAGGAATGAAAGAAGATTGACGAAACAGATTTATAAGGCGAGCGTGAGCGGGCAAGTTCGTATGGGCCGACTAAGGCGAACTTACTATGAGCAAATTGAGGCCATCCTAAAGAAAGGCCAGGTCAAGAGTGCCCTTAATCGACGAGCGTGTATAAAAGCATTGATGCGTGTTGATGAGGCGAAAGATGTGTGTCAGGACCGTAGCAAGTGGAAGACTGTTGTCTCTGCCTACCCCGATGGGAAAAATGCGTGATTGTATATATGTATGTACAAGAAAAAGAACAAGTAAATAACAGGTACAAACGGAACTGGAACAGGTTTCAATCTCTTACATAAAAAATTTACTCATGCGATAATAAAACTAATGAGAAACTGAAAACAATACAAAAACACGATTTGCTGCATGCCACAATTTAATACAGGAGCTACGATAGCGATTTAGTCCAACAACATTATGTATTCTGTAACTTAAGCGGCCATTACTTGACATTTCTTCCGAAAGTGTGCAATTACTGTATTGTGAGGTATCTAAACGAGAAACTTTCGGCTGTACATCTACAATATTATATGAATGAACAACAAATTACGAAAGCCTTAAAGCAGCTCGGCCTGGCAGACTTATTCCGAGGTTGACCCTTGCCCAAAACTTTCTTCGTACCCTATTTGTGATGGTTTGTGAATTTTGTAAAGGCTTTGAACACTGAATTTGGTATTTCCAATGTCATATACTAAAATGATAACAAAGTTCTGAGGAAAAAAATTGTAAAGAACTTTTTGTTTTTTTTAAGACGTCAATTGATGGGATAGTCAAGACTAGAGCCTGGCCATGACAGTAGCAGTAGCACTCAGAGTTTTAAATCGAAAAGACTCCAGGGGCTGTGTCACTGATCTGCAAGGGGCCGTTGGTTTGTTTGAAGAAAAAAACAAATATCTGCTTTTTAGAGATCAAAAACAGTAAACAAGAATTCTTATTTGGTTTGGCATGTAACGACTCCACGTCACTAAATTTTGTGGGTCCGTTCGTTCGCGCCCCCGATTTAGGTTAGGTACGATAAAAGTTATTCAAAGCTATTTTTAATAAAATGTACTGGCACACACAAAAATGCTTTTACAAAAAGAAATAAACAATTGGATAGGTATGTAATAGAAGCCGCTATGAATATAATATGAAATAACATGAACTGCACATATACATAAATCTATTTTGGTATACTTGATCAAATAAGTGCAAGTAATAATTATTTAAATCCTTTATATATACAGTAACAACAATATATCAAAATAATTATTTAAATCTATCCAATCCAATGTTAATATTGAAACTTGATTAATTTTTTTTGTGATACCAAGTTTTAAAGTCGTCATCCTGAGACATAAGTTAACAAGTCCCACGTGCCTGTAACATAAAATTTTGCGACTGTCAAAATATAATCAAACGTTGACCCAACTAGCATTGGGCCAGTGTGACAAATATTGACCTAAACTCTCTTCACCCATGGGACCTGTATCTAGCAGGGGGTGTATAGTAAGCTGATAATGCTGATACATGTCGCAGGTAGAAATCAATACCGTCACTAAACGAAAAAGTCGACTTCCGGAAAGTGTCGTTTAAAATTTTATGAAAACAGGCTTAAATTTGAGAAAGCGAGATTCTTATAAAGTGACGTTATTGCTTTGAAAGCGCTACATGTACAATGTTTTATATTATTTCAATTTGACATTTATTGCATTTAACGACTTCGCGTTAGCCGATTTTGTTTGTATTCCCTGTCCATCTCTATTATTATAAGAAATTTTGTTACTTTCTGTTTTTGTTTAAGGTTTACTTCACTTTGCTTTATATATAATGTTAAGTTATACGTATGTGACGGTTATCATGTGTGCGTGCCAATATTAATCACATCCTTATTTTAATATGGCAGCATTTAGAAAATGCTACTTTTCAGGAGCATACGACGAATAATTTGCATACGTAGCAAATCAATTTACTTCCATTTTTATTAACATGGACTTTTACAAAGTAACGCCTGAATCTATCAATTACTTAACAATTTTAACTTATTTTCAGTTTAATTTTACAAAGTAGTCAAGTTGCACCTGGATTAAGAAGTTTTCCAAGTGACTTCCTATTTGGTGCCTCCACAGCAGCCTATCAGGTTGAAGGCGGCTGGAATGCTGACGGTATGTTATTTTTTTTTATAATATCAAGTGAAGCTACACGCCTGTCCATAACAGTTCCAGTGCCACTCAGAGCTTTAAATTGCAAAGATCACGCCCGTCACCCTGATACATAAGTTGACAAGTCCTACGTGCCTGTAATTTCACCAGCACCATTACCCTTTAAAATCGGAACGCATTAATGCTGATATTACTGCTTGGCGGCAAAAATAGGTGAGGTGGCAGTACTACCCTGGACGAAGTTTTTCACAAGGAGCTCCATTGCTCTTAAACAACATTTTAATTACGGTAATTCACAACATAACGAAACATTTAACTGCGACTGTGGTCGAAAGGTCACTATGCTGGTCTGACATTCAGTGGTCACTGCTTCGATTCCCGGGCCGGGAGACATTTGTGGTTGTCTATGTGTTTGTCCATGGCATGGCATTAGTGTTATGAGTGTGTGCATTATTATTATTAATTTTGAAAAAATGCAAAAGTTTTTTTTATAAACACCGGCGTAAAGTTGCCTGCTTATCGATACTATACAGGATATCACGTAGAGTATTTTTTTTATGTTACAAAGTGACGAACAAGTCGTGCGCCTGGTAGTAAGCGACACGCCTGTCCATAATAGTTGCAGTGCCTCTTCGAGCTTTAAATCGCAAACATCTGAGGGAGACCCAGAGGCATAATTTGACTAATCCCATGTGCCTGTAATTTCACCAGCACCCTTCAAAACCGGAACGCAGTAATGCTCACATTACTAATTGGAAGCAATAGGTAAGATGGCAGTGCTTACCTGAACCAACTATTATACTAGTTTAAATAAAAGGTGTTAAAAGTAATTTCATAATGTAGCATCAGAAATTTTATAAGTGTAGAATTACTAATATCTCAATGCATACATTATTGATCTGTAAGTGAGAGGTAAAGAACCTTAAATGCTAAATAGTGTGTAATAATACTAAAGAGCGTTTTAAAGAGAACGAGGCTCTTAATTAGGCATTTAAAATCAATCTTAAGGTCAAAAAGAAAAATGTTAAATAAAAAACAAACAACGAATGTCTTTTACCATTGCGTGATGTTTAGCATTCTAAAGCAATTAAAAATATCTAAATGCCAAGATATGGACTTAACGTCCTTTTCTTCTAAGCCAAAGTTATATTAGACTGTGTGAATTCAAACGTGTGAGCGAGAGGGTAGGAATGTGCAAGCGGGAGAGAAAACAAAATAAAAGACTAGAAAACGTAAGCTAGTAGAACATATTTTGAAGAAGCACGAGTGAACCAGTTTCACAAAAGTACTGGTTTTTATTTATTCCATATAGAATTTCGAGTAATTTCAAGTACCCAAACAAAACCAATAACAAATTTCCAAGGTAGAGGTTTTATTATTTTATATAGTAGTAGATCTCTTTTTGAAAGAACTCGTCCAACACTGCCACCATACCTATTTGTAACGCAAGCACAATTATATAGGTAAGCATTACTGCTGGTGAAATTACATGTAGAGTCATTCGAGTGAAGTGGAACATAAAGGTATTACTTCCAAGTAAAGCATTTATATTGACTCTAAAGAAGGATGACGAAAGCTGACCCAATAATTATAAAATCAACGAAGTGCCGTTCAAGGACATTGCTAATATGATTTTACGTTTTAGTTTACGGATAGTTATTAACATATTTTTGAGTATTTTTAGAAGTCGAGAATAAAGAAATTGAGAAACAATGTATTTTAGAATAAATGCAAAAACACAACGCAATTGATTCAGTTGGACCATAGATTATGTAACGTTTTTGTACGTACGTTTCATATTAAGCATGATTGAATGTTTACCAACTTAAAGTATTGGTTATTTTATATTACACACACAAAACATTAAAGCATTTATAAAATACCTAATCAAATAATCAATTAAACAGTAAGAACATAAAATAAAAAATAAAAGTAAATATGTCGAAAATGTTTAGACAATATTTAAATGAGAGATGAGAAAGTTCACAAAGGAAGTTTTGACAAGAGGCCTCTTGCCAATGTCAATGTCACATTGAGATTGAGAACAGTTTTAATTGTTATTCATTTTCATTGCGGCAGAACATGTTTACGTTGCATTAAATGTTACAGAGTTGGAAATATTCAGCAAGTTCTTTATTATTTTTGGGAAAAAACTTGTTGTTTTCTACTACTGTGAACAAACATTATGAAACGAAATATAGGATAATGTTATAAACATAACCTATATCAACTTTAAAACCCCAGCTTCTACAGGCTATACTCAATTAACTTTTTTGATACAATGATAATGAATCACAAGTATTGATGGGTTTCTTTAATGCACGTCGTCAAAAACACTGGGTCACAAAATACACAGGATATCGCCTTCCTTCTTTAAGTAAAAATAAAAACACGCGGTTTCTTTTCTATTAACTAGATTTTTCTATTAAGGCGCACCCTTGTGGGGTATATAGACACATACGGGGTGAGTGTATTGCTTGCTCATTGTCAAAATAAATATAATAATAATAAAAAGTATTATTTATTGAAAAACCTAGGTATGTTTGAATTGTATTGTTGGTATTACTTACCAAATGTAATATAAAAATATTAGAAATGATGAAATATGAAAAATAAAAAAAATCTTATTGACATCTTATCAACTTTGAAACTGATGTACGTTCGGGTTTTTTCTTATATAATTCATCGGCATGACGAATAGGCACTGAAACATAAAATAAAAGTACGTTAAAAATATCGTACAAATTAATGGATGAAAATATTGCAGACAGGGTAAGGGTACGTATGCGGACACTTGCGGGTAAGTGTGCACATTTTCCTTAGAGCACTTTATGGCAAATGAATGGTAGCAAAATATTGAGAACTGCATAGCGTTAATCTGTTCATAATTGAAAAAAAAAACAACTTACTACGGAACTACTTAGCCACTCAAGCGCCATGTTTTGACCCAAACAAACCGCCCAACCCTCTTCCTTCATTCCAGAGCTTCTGCGCACACTTACCCCCTGCGCTCAGTTACCCCGAATGACTCTAGATACATGAGACTTGTTAACTTTAATATACGATGATGGGTGCACTAACAGTGCCCGTCATGTCTTTGCGATTTATAGCTCTGTAATGTTAGTTGATATCCTTATAATTACAGTAATCCTGTTATAAGACTGCTCTGATGTTCCACAACGAATTAATGTTCATTTACAAACTTAAAAGACAATGTATAAATTGTCTTTAACCTCTTGTAACAATTTACAATTGAGAAATTCAATTACCAATGTTTTAAACTGATCAGTATAACTTTATTTCCAGTTTCGTCATAAATTAGCAATAAAATAAACAAAGTAACCCTATTAACGTTACAGATAAAGGCGAAAACATCTGGGACTATATGACCCATAATAGACCAACTGTCATTAAAGATCGTTCCAATGGAGATATAGCAGCTGACACTTATCACAACTACCGTCGAGATGTCGAAATGATGAGAGAACTAGGGCTCGACGTCTATCGCTTCTCACTTTCATGGTCTCGTATTTTACCTACCGGCAGATCAAATTACTTGAGCAAATCTGGAATCAATTTCTATAACAACTTTATAAATCAGGCAAGTATATAGGCTAACCCAACAACAAAAACAACACAACGCTTTGTACACTTTCAATAATATGCCACCATGACGAGACAAGTAAGCGTTGACCTATATCACTCTCATGATCTGAAATGTAACCTACAGGCAGAAATCTGTAAGTGAAAATAATGTGTAAGTAACGGGACGAAAATGTCGTGCGCCTGATGGTAAACGACACGCCTGTCCAATAGAGTTGCAATACCACTCAGAGCTTTAAAAGGTCTGAGGTGCACTGCCACGGCGCTCATCATAAGTTGAAAAGTCCCATGTGCTTGTAATTTCACCAGCACCCTTACCATTCAAAACCGGAACGCAGTAATGCTGACATTACTGGTTGGCGGCAAAATAGGTAAGTACTTCCCTAGACAAACTTTTTCACAAGGAGCTGTACTGCTAATTGGATTGCTGAGCATATCTTAAATTAATATCTATTACAACTTTATAAATGAGATAGTAATAAACCTATAAGTACATAGTTCACTCAAAAACAACAACACAAAAACAAGTCCATTCTTTGTACACTTTGGTTCGAATATCGCCTACAGTGCAATAGAATAAGTTCCATCAATGTGTAGATTGACGTGATACCGCCTATACGGCACTGTGTAGACACCCCTCCTCATATAGAAATCATAATACTACATAACTTAGCATACCATACTCAAGCTTTGATGGGTACGAATATAAATCTGAGCCAGGCTTCAGATCGTAAATCTCCAGCAGACTTGTTTTCAAAGAATTTTCAGGAGAATTATATAATGACTGAACAGGGTGCCACAATTTATTGACTATGGTGAATTGCTTCACTACGGCTTACAGTGAGTTTGATTCAATGTTATCTATACTTTTACTATTCTAGATGCTTAAATACAACATCACACCAATAGTGACCTTATACCACTGGGATTTACCTCAAAGATTGCAAGATTTAGGAGGATTCACAAATCCCGTAATCGGCGAGTTATTTGAAGACTATGCAAGGGTTGCTTTTGAACAATTTGGTGATAGAGTTAAGCATTGGATCACCATAAACGAGCCTAGAGAAATTTGTTATGAAGGCTATGGATCTGATACTAAAGCACCACAAGTTAACGCTACAGGAATCGCTGAGTATCTCTGTGCTAAGAATTTAGTTATGGCTCATGCGAAAGCCTATCATGCATATAATAAAGATTTTAAAGGTAAACAAGGGGGTGTTTGCGGTATTACTATTAGTGTTCACTGGTTTGGACCTCTGACTAATTCTATCGAGGATATGGATGCTGCTGAATTGAAAAGACAGGGTGAAGTAAGTGCTTACAATTACTCTTTATATTTCTTTCCATGCTAAGGAAAGAACTCAGTAGCAAATATATGAATTTATTCCGAAGCAAAGCCAAACTTCTTTGGATAAAAAGCAATTGGGTCTCACTAACACGATCTTTACAAAATTGAAGTATTTAATGTTGTTATCCACACATTCGACCAAAAAATCTCATCACTTAGGATGCCAAAAGAGAATCAATGATTCTTTTTTTAAAACTGCCACTTATGCTAAAGATATTAATGGTAAAGTTAGTGGTGGAGATACTGCGTCCCTTTTAAATAAAACGATCATTACTAACTCACAATTTCAAAATTATTATTCTTCTAATATCGGTAAACATTTTATATTAGATGAAATCAACGAATTCCAATTCTGTTGTCACATTCACCATAATTTGTATCGATTTTTTATCGCTAATAAATAATTATTATTTTCGAGAACTACTAAATACTTGACGTAGACAACCTAAATTTATACACGCTTAATATAATATTAACATCCGCAAACAAACTCTTGATTGGAGATAATGACGACCTTCACCCAAATAAATACTATCTATTGCAATGAATTTAAGTGACGACTTTAATATTTTATTATACGCCATGCTGTTTTAATATCATAACACTATTGTTGATCAATTTTGTTAACCGGTCGTTTTCAATTAAAAATATTATGGTTTTGCTATAACACTATAAAATTGTTATCATTTCAGTGGGGTATGTATGCAGAACCAATATTTTCCAAAGATGGTGGATTTCCCAAAAAACTAGTAGAAATAGTAGCACAAAAAAGCAAAGAGGAAGGATTCCCTGCATCTCGACTACCAGAATTCACTGAGGAAGAAAAAACATTCGTCAGAGGATCTTCTGACTTCTTTGGTCTTAATCATTATACTTCGTTTTTGGTGTCTGCAAATAAATCTAAAGGTAATTATCCTATACCTTCGCTGCCCGATGATTTGGGAACTGGAAACTTGATTATTCCAAAAGAATGGCCTAGATCTGCTTCTTCTTGGTTGACGGTAAGTTTGATAATCCTTTGCTTCATCTTTACACTGCATTCTGTTTACATTGGATTCATAGTATCTGTTGAAATATAATCCACGTTATTTATTATTCCCAAAGGACAGGTTTTGGTTCAACCCGCCCAAATATATATTTGGGCGGGTTGAACGAAAACCTGTGCTGTGTTTCATTGCTAATGAGGTATGTATATACCTCATTGGCAACTTGAAAACAACAATTGACAATTGACAAATTGAAAAGACAACAACTTCTTCAAACGTTATTATGCTTATGAATTTTCATTTTTTTATTATTCAGTTGAGAAAAAGTTATATTAAAATAAATACGTGAAAGCTATTAGCTGGTTCTCTAACGCTATTTGAAACTATATTTTTTGAGAATTAAGTCTATTCATTTATTCATTACAGTTAGCCCCAAATAGTCTGTTTAACGTCCTTACCCATCTAAAAGAAAAATATGGGAACCTAACCTATTATGTGACCGAAAATGGCTGGTCAACTGAACCAGAAGCAGGAAGTAATGATGATGATAGAGTGAAATATCTCAGAGCAGCGCTAGAGAGTGCACTAGATGCAATCAACGCTGGTGTTAACTTAAAAGGATATATGGCCTGGAGTTTGATGGATAATTTTGAATGGATGGAGGGGTACACGTGAGTATTCTATTATTATTAAGTTAAATACTTGGAAGGAGAGAAAGAGTGAACATAGACTAGTTAGCATAGAAGGCAAGCAAACGGAACGTAAATATAGGAAAGTGGATCACAATATCTTCTCGTAAATATTCTCGGATATGCTGAACCCTATTAGAAGAGAGAACGATTTATTATTAGTGGAGTAGAACATAATAAAACTGACAATGATATAACAAATAGAAAATTAGTGAAGTCTATTATTCCGGGATACGCAGCACAGTCTTGATCCGATAGTGAACTAAAGAATATTAGTGAATTATTGGTAACAAATGACAACCAGAGGCTACATTCAGCCAACTAAGTCTTCAATACAACAATAGTGTCTTTGTTCACAGGGAATGTTTCGGTCTATATCGTGTGGACTTCAAAGACCCTAAACGCACCCGGACTCCTCGCAAATCAGCTTTCATCTACAAGCAGATTATTAAATCGAGAAGAATCGATTATAATGATAATTATTTATCAACCATGAAAATTGATAGTGGACATTGAATTTTAGTTACAAATCATTTGTTTAACTTTAGGAATGTACTGTTAACATTATTTATATAAACACTGGAACTCTGGACATGATATTGTTTTTTTGTCTTATCTTGTAAAAAAAAGTTGTTAGTTTCAATCACAGGTTTCAATAGTATTCTACAATACAAGCTAAAACGACACCACACGTGAGCTACCGGTGCGTTACGTCATCGTAATGCTATGATTTCAAAGCACTTAGTGCTACACGAGGAATGCGGTGTCGCAAGGTAACGCCACTAACTTATGCACCGTAGCACCCTTCCCAGTTTCATCTCCTGGAGTCCTGGCGCCTTGTCCGATGTGTAAGTGTTCCGACGCTGTGCGCTCGTTTCACCGTACCATGTGACATATAGTTCCAATTTATGTTACCGCTCAGGCGTTACAATGCTGTCGCAACGCATCGTGTGATACCACACTCTTACGCTACATTTCGTTTACTTTCAAAATAAGAAAATGAGTTCTGGTTCTCTCTGAGTTACTAAAAAGATTGTGATGATACTTTTACTGAAATAGTGACCAGAATAAATAAAAAAAGAAACACGGAGATTAATAACAAAACATGAAGTCGTTTGTTCAAACTCATTATAATGAATTGAAAGCAAATACACAGATAGTAATATACAAAAGAAATACGTTGTTTACCAACAAACAGATTTCAAAGATCATGGCCCATAATCTGACCCGGTTAATGGATGTTTGCGTACAAAAACCACGATAGTTTTAACTTTTTATTTTAATGTGATAGGGCACTAAAGATTTGATATGAAACATAATTATTAATTGCGTGATAACCGTAATCTGGTTAATGTCAAACTTTCTGTCAAAATATATGTCATCATACTTATGCGCGATCCCTGTGCGGTCAGTCGCAATAAGAATAATACCGAAATCGTTTCTGTGTGATCAACAATAAATACAAAACACACAAATATTTTGTACTAGCATATTTTTTTTTTGAAAAAATATTTTTTTATTCCATAATTCCCAGTACCCACAATTAAGCGATAAATACCATTGTAGAGTACACATATTTTGTCTATAAATTTAGCCATATATCATTTCTGTACGCCGTGGGTATAGTTTTTATACTTTGGTCACACTTTGGTGGGCCATGATCTTTGAGGTTTTTATAATTAGACTTGTTTAGATACTGTAAAATCTTAGACATACATAGTAAAATAAATATATACATACTTTGTGATGAAATAGATAAAATTGATACGTTAAAGCATACGATAAGAATCGGTAAATTGCGAAATTTAAATTACCTCTCAAGGTATGATCTTTCTCCATACAATAACAACTATGGAAAGCGTGTCTGGAAATATATGTTACCATTACTGCTTAATAAACTGCCAAGTGACGTTTTTGATATACTTATAGGTAAACCAAAAATTGTAAAACGATCCTTAAGTCAATTCATTTATCAAATTGTTAAAGTTATTAGTTCGTCAGTGTAAGTTGCGTAAATTATTAGATACGTATAAGTATTGGTCAGTAATTATTTTGTTAGACGCCTGATTCCGTCCGACGGTGTAAATGGCAAGGCGTCGAAACTTGTCTCGTCATATCTCAACGGTAGAATTCAGAAAGTAGACATAAATGGTGTGACTTTTTTGGGTTCTCCGGTAAAAATGGGCATTCCACAGGGCTCAATACTTGGGCCTTTCTTATTTCTGATTTATATTAATGATCTGCCATTCTTTGTTAAGGACCATTGCGAAATAGTGTTATTTGCTGATGACACATCCTTGATTTTTAAAACAGACAGACATGACATTAACTATGACCATATTAATAATACCCTCTCTAAGGTAGTTTATTGGTTTAATGTTAACAATTTATTTCTTAATGCCAAGAAGACAAAATGTGTTAAATTTGAATTACCTAACGTAAAATCGACTAGTCCAAGCATAGAAATAAACGGAGAAAAATTAGACTTTGTTAATAAAGCAGTCTTCTTGGGAGTGACCTTAGATAGTAAACTTCAATGGTTTCCACATATATCTTCCCTGGCCAGCAGGTTAAGCTCCGCTGCATACGCAGTCCGCAGAATACGTGAGCTTACCGATGTTAGTACTGCTAGACTAGTTTACTTTAGTTACTTACATAGTATAATGTCCTACGGGATTCTCATGTGGGGTAAAGCGGCAGATATTCAAACCATATTTGTATTGCAAAAACGAGCGATTCGTTCTGTGTACCGTCTAGGCTCTCAGGTTTCTCTCAGAGAAAAGTTTGAGGAGACAGGTATCATGACTGTGGCATCACAGTACATTTACTCAAATATTTTATATGCTCGTAAAAATATACATAATTTCAATAAGAAAGAAGATATCCATATTATTAACCTTAGAGCTAAGTCCAAACTCATGGTACCACGATTTCGTTTAACCAAGGTAAACAACTCTTTTATGGGGAACTGTATACGTTTTTACAATAAGATTCCGGAGCATAATATATTAAGTTTATCATTTCCTAAGTTTAAAAACTACATTAAAAATATTTTGATCGAAAAATCATATTACAAAATTGAAGACTACGTGTTAGATAAAGATGTATGGAAAGACGACATGGCTCCAGAATCCACACAAATTTAATTCAAAGTGTATTCCGTAGCATTTAAGTTTATTTGAAAAGAGCAATCCCTAGAGTTTCTTGCTCGTTCTTCTCAGGGAGGTCGCTGACCTCCTAGTGAACGAGCAGTAGCTTAAATGTGACGATTTCATGTGTAAATTTATTTTACCTATGGAATAAGTAATCTTTGACTTTGACTTTGACTTTGACTTTGACTTTGACTTTGACATCCAAATAACAATCAAATAAGCAATACTTGACCAGATGAAAAGACGCGTGATGCGAATGAAGTGTCATGCTGGATACTTGCCTTTTAATTTTGTCGAATATTACTTATTTGACAGTAATTGTTTCGGACGGATGTCGGACGGAAATCGAGAGTAGACCCCCTGATACGAATCGGACGTAATCCGCAAACGTCCAATCCTCCAAAACCGTTACACAGTAATGCTCACATTACTACTTGGCGACAGAAATAGGTAAGATGTACTTGCCTGGAACTTCTTCATAAGGAGCTCCACTCCTACTAAAATGACGTATCGCACTGCTATCACAATAGTGTTGTAACTCAAAATACGTGAAATTCAACTTTAATCTATATATAAAATTTTAAATCTTGCACGGTAAGTGAGAAATTCGTTTTTCATTGATTCTGAAAAAATACACTTTTTGATTAAATTTTTATTGAATTGATATTCAATTATTCTTTGTGAAATGACGCCACTAGTTTGTTATAATTATTAATACAAAGATCAGAAAACACACTCAGAAAAAATTCCTCCGATCCGGTCGGATTCGAACCGAACGTCTTCTTGCATACCGTGCCAGACGCGATACCAACTATTAATGTGTTAACTAAAAATTAACTATGTATTAATAATTATAACAAACTAGTGGAGTAATTTCACAAAAAATAATTGAATATCAATTCAATAAAAATTTAATTAATACAGTGAATAGCGACATCTCTCGCCAGGACTGGTAGCTGTAAAGGTACTAACTGGGTGATAAATCTGCAATAGATTTCTCAAAGATGGCGCTACGACTAAAAAGTCGTTGAAAGACCAAGTACAAAGACACGACGCAAGCACATAGAAAAATTCGTGAGGTCCGTTGGTTCGTTCCGTGGCTTAGTTGGTATAGCGTCTGCCACGGTATGCAAGAAGACGTCGGTTCGAATCCGACCTGATCGAAGGAATTTTTTCTGAATGTTTTTTCTGAGTGTTTTTTCTGAGTGGTCGATCTTTGTATTAATAATTATAACAAACTAGTGGATGTGTATTCGATCTTTGTATGAATAATTACACTTTTTGAGTTAATATACTATTGTGTTAACAATGCGATATGTTAATTATTTCTTGTAATTCTGTTTTTTATGCTTACCCAAAAGTTCACTGGAGGAAAGACGTTTACTAATTTAGCCGACGCATACTTTCCTTATTATGCTATAGTAGTACCCCGTCTTTTGTATTACAATTGTATCTCTATTTCTTTCTTATGTCTTTTAATTTTGCATCGTAAATTACCTTAGAGAAAATTTACGCAGTGGGGGGTATATTGTATATGTAGAATTGCCGAAACCACTACCGCAGGCCCGTAAAGCTCGCCACGACCTCAACCCATGTTTACGAGAGGCTTTGTATTTAATTGAAAAACCGTTTTTGGGTTCCGTATTCGATATAAGTAGCACTTTTATTCATTCAATTATGTATTTATTGTCTTGTGAAAATGTACTTGTGTATTAGAAACTTGAAAACGGGAAATAAGTAAACCCGAAAATAATATTTTATGCAATCGTTGGATAATGAGGATTTTCACAGTGTATTAAACACTGTGAAAATCCTCGGTCTGAGTGGGTACGAGATTTAAAATTGAATTATGTAATGATTGCATACATTACTTTTATTACGAGTAAATTAAACTAATGAAACACAATCAATATTTAAGACTATTTGATAACAATCCACGACAACAAACTACAAACAAGAGCCAAACAAACGCTACAAAACAAAAAGCCAGACAGAAAGAATAAAATTGTTTTGTGATTGGCCAATTACCGCTAGTATTCTAACCAATTAGGGGGCAGCAGAGCGTTTGGGTACCATCACGTTTGAATGTATGTAAATAGTTTTTTTTGTTGTGAAATGGTTAGCAGTTAATAACATTTTAAGATATGATTTAAAATATAATTTTAATTTTAATTATTAGTGATAATTCAGTGACACGTTTATTGAGACTCTTTTATTTAGCAAAAATACGACTTTTTTTTAAAGTCTTACAGTTCTGTGTACAGAATTTTTTTAGTCCAGTACGAGTATCATAGACAATAGGATTTTTCGTTAAGAACTGTAAAGAGCGCATTTGTAATATGGTCCTTGAAATTATAATTGACAGACTAAAGTACAGGAGTACAAAAATTTTATTATATCTTTAATCAGGCAGATTAGCACACCACTTAACAAACTGGGCACGGGTCTCCTCTCAGT